TCAGACATTCGAAGTATTTTTCATCTGATTTCTTTATATGAGTTTCTTGTAGACATACTATATCAGCATTTTGTTTGATTAATTTGGCTATTATCCTTTTCCTTTTTATAGTTGAGTTTAAACCATTTATATTAATTGATAGTTGTTTCTTCTTCTATTTAATTAGTTCTGTTTTGCTCTTTGTCTTGTAACAGCTCCTGTCTCTCCTTGTACCTGAAGATGTGTTTCTTCTCTCTCCTGTTGTAATTGAGTGTTTCCTTGATTTCCTAAAGTTCCATCTCTGTTCTTATGATAGCCTTGATCTTCCTGGGAGTTCGTTTCCAGTTCATCCTTACTGCTGTGGTCTTCCGGGCCTACCAACCATTCATAAAATTCCTGGGCCTTTTCCATAGAGTCTATTTTGATTTTCCTCTCATCCCAAGAAACTAACATCCCCTCTGGTATTAGCCATTTACATACGATTCTTTTCTGATTTAGGTAAGCTGCTAAGAATTCATAATCTCGTCTTTGTTCTCTTACTCTTCTTGGTATTTGTTTGAGAACCAAGACTTCTTTGCCTTTATACGTGATTGATTGATCTCTTGACATCCTATATATGATATCCCGGACACTCCTTCTCGCAAATCATATATGGACTTCTCTTGGTCATTTTGACGTCTCACATAATTAGTGCTAACCCTGTAAATTTCATCAAACTCCCTCAAGATGTCATCTTTATCCTTTTCCAATAGTCCAGCCAATATTCCTGCCATTAGTTGTTCCAAGTCTTCTTTTGATTCCAGTATATTTTGGAATCTCAAGTATATAGCAGCCTTATCCATCTCTAGGTAGACCAGTGAGTCCTCCATTTTTTTACTCACATTCTTTAATTCTTCATCTACCCTTTTTAATTTCCTTTCAGTTCGTTCTGTCCTTTTCTCTACCTCTTTTATTGTTACTTCATTTTTCTCCAAGGCCTGCTGTAATAATCCAACTTTGTCCTCTACTTTGAAGATATCTGCTTTCATTTCTGCTTTTAATTTCCCCATCTCCTCTTTTAATTCATTTATATCTTCTCTCTTCTCATTATGGTTTTTCATCATTGTTTCTTGCAGCTTCATCATTGATTCCTGTAAAGTAAGCAGAATTGATTGGATATTGGCATTTGAGATGTTAGCTTGTTTCTCCACTGTTAATGTTTCTTCAATGGTTTTTTGTGCCATGGGCGAAGCTGTTGCCAACGTGGTTGTTAACGTTGGGGTGACCTTTCTTCCAGTTTTCAGAGTTGTAGTTGTTGTGGAAGTCATTTCTTTTAAGATTTGTTTCTGTTGTTGTAATATATTAATTATATTATCCCAAATTAACATTCAGTAATAGAATCTCTATATTAGGATTGACTGCTATCTAATTACTTAATCTATCTATCTGCTGGATAACTCTACTCTTTACCAATTACTGGAGTATAAGTTCTTATAGATAAAAATATTATCACTGTATTATTTTAAATCCAAATTCTAAATCACATATATAATTTTGTAAGGCCTCAATGCTCAGCCTCTATACATAACTTCACGTAATAGAAAAAGTATATAAATATTATATCCAAATCCAACTATATTTAAATATTATAAATAAATATAAGTATTATCTAACCTTATTTGAAATATTCTTAAACACAAACAGTATTACATTCGTCCCCAAGTGGATTAATTAAATATTTAGAGTGATTGCACAATGAATTGTAATATTAATATATGAAATCCTTTATAGTTATTAATTAAATAATACTTAATGTTCTTACTATTTTTCCTATATATCTAATCAAAGTATAACTGTCACTATTATTAATAAATCAATTAAATCAGTTAATTCAATTATTTAACAATCAATTACAACAATCAATTTTTCTTTCCCCAGTATACATATTTGTAAACATTATAAAGAGAGATTGAAAAAGGAGAGATAGTTCATCATAGCGCCGGAGGGTGGGGGGAATAAAGAAAAATGAGCAGATATATACAGGAAAAAGGGAGTAAAGAAGGGGAAAAAGGAGTTTTAAAGTAAGTTTTTAGCTTTCCATCTCTAAGTTTTAAGAGCTTACACTCCAAACGCACCAGAAGTGGGGAGGTAAGAAATGCTGAGTAGTGACTATAATTACATGGTATCTCCACACATTCAGAAGCTTCCACTTTTACTTTTCGTCTTAGCATTCCTAAGTTCAATTTTCCTGATTTTCTTCAAATGGAACCACCTCCTCAGTTAAATCAGTATACTTCCTGAAGAGCAGTTAAGTGGTTTACATCAGTTATATTGTTACAATAACTTCAGGATTTCTAAGTATCGCCTGTGGCGCCGCACTGTCTCTATTCTGCCGGCTCCGATCTTCTTCCCATCTCCGATTTAATAAAGTCTTTCAGCATAAAAATCGAATGAAATAATCCAAATCCCCCACACCTTCCAGTCACCTTCCAGCCACTAGATTCCCTTCTATTAATATCAGTGTGGTATATCTCCCAACCTCGTAAGCTTCCCTTTTTACTCATTATTGACCTCTATCTTTCTTCTGTCTGCCAAGCCCCTTTACTTTCACTTGCTTCGTGTCCACTTTTTGGCCGCTTCCTTTTAGGGCTCCAGACAGACACTTGTAGCAGTCTTATAAAAGTCTATAGCATTCCAATTGTCCTCTCCGCTGCTAATTTTCTCTGCCACACTCTTCATCAATGATCCCACAAACTGTCACTCACTCGCTTCTTTACATCGGTGGCAGTCCGGACTTCGGAGCCGCCATTGATAGGTGGCTGTTTCTTGCTTGTTGGGCTCTGGAGGGCTCCTCTTCGCTGCAGGGGGGTTGCCTTCCCCACACTGCAGCTCGAGTCTCCCCCACACCGGCACGAATCTCTCCGGGACTCGTGCACCCTCAAAGGATCGCACCAACCACAAAAAGAGATTAACTGAAACCACAGATGGGCTTCTGCACCTCTGTTCGTCCTTGCCTTACCACCCCTTGCCTTACCATAAGTTGCAAGCCTTTGCAGATGATATGATTTTTTTCATTGAAGAACCAATAGAAAGAGGACAAAAATTGATGAATGAATTAGAACAATTTGGAGCAGTAGCAGGACTAAAAATTAACAGGAAGAAAACGAAATTAATGACCAAATATTTAACAGAAAAACAGAAATTAGAACTAGAAGAAGTTATGGGACTACAAGTGATAAAGAAAGTTAAATATTTAGGAATATGGTTTTAAGACACTTAAGGAAAATAATTATGATAAATTAATGCAACAGGTAAAGAAGGGTTTAGAAACGGGGCAAGCTGCAACTTTCACTATTAGGCAGGATTGCTGCTATTAAAATGAATATTCTTCCAAAATTCCTCTATATATTTCAGACGATTCCAGTTAAAGTACACAAAAAGTTTTTTGAAGAACAATAAAATAACTGCAAAATTCATTTGGCAAGGGAAAAAAACTAGAACAAACTTAAAAGGCAATGCAGGATATGAAGAGCAGGGGAGGGCTGGCACTTCCAAATTGGGAGTTGTATTATAGTGCAGCCTCTTTAGTATAGTTGAAGGAATGGCTGAATTTAATTAACAAGAGAATATTATTCTTAGAAGGCCATGACTTACAGAGGGGGTGGCATGCTTTTTTATGGGATATTGGGAAAACTAGCCAGAAATATTTTCACAGACACCTAATCAGAGATTCATTATTGACTAATTGGAAGAAAATACGGAAAAACACTACTTAAAGATACCAATCTGGATCTCAACAATGGAGGCAATGATCCACCCAAATAATTTGGATATTACTAAAATGATTAAATATAATGACCTATTGGATACGCAAGGAAATCTGAAATTATGGCAAGACCTTCAAGATCAGGGATTAAAAGTTGATCGGTGGGCATATCTTCAAATTCAGAGTAGATACAAACAGGACAAGAAAGAATTTGAAATTAATAATAAACTAGCAATTAGATAAAATTTTATTAGGATCAGGTAAAAAAAATATAACAAAATTTTGTAATTATTTATTAGAGGTGGAATTAGAGGAAGAAATTGTTAAAGGGAACATGATAGCCTGGAGTAGGAACATAGGACATAGTATCACCTTAACAGAATGGGAAAAGGTCTGGGGTAGAAATAAGAAAATTACAAAATCGGTAGCGTACAAAGAAAATGCCTATAAAATGTTTTACAGGTGGCACCTTCCTCCTTCGAGATTAGCGAAGATGCCCCCCAATATGAGTCCAAACTGCTGGAAATGCAAAAAAAGAGGGAACTTTCTTCCATATGTGGTGGTCTTGTGCAGAAGCCCAAAAATATTGGCAGAAAATTAGAAATTGGCTGGAGGAAATGACAAGAGAACAGATCTAATTTAAACCAGAGTCCTTTCTATTAGGGATCTTTGATAAAGAATTACCAAAAAAAAGTGAAATATATAATAATACATATTTTGACAGTGGCCAGATTGGCTTTTGCACAATGTTGGAAACAGCCTCATGTTCCATCAGAGGAGATGATTATTCAAAAAATTTCAAGTTGTGCAGAAATGGACAAATTAACCTTGGCATTAAAAGATAAAGACACTTCAATATATTATGACAGCTGGAACAGCTGGTACAAATGGATAGATCAAAGATAGGCTTCACACTAAAAGGCAAAAGAAGATATGATAGAATCATAGTAGTGATATACAGATATATGTAAGGGTTAATTGTGTATATGGTATAAAATAAGGATAAAAAGGAGGTCTCACAAATTGTTGAAGATGAAAATGTTTTTAACTGTTTTCTATCTTTTTCTTTCTATTCTTTTTTTCTCTTTCTTGTCTTCTTTTTCTCTCTTGCATTTATGTGTGTGTTGTTGGTCTATTTTAATTGTAAAATCAATAATGTATATTTTAAAAAAAGAAGACACTAGGGATATATAAGTGAGCAAATACAGTTACATTTGTCTTTTGAAATCTCCTAGCTGTCAACCCTATAATCGTGTCCTTGTTTCCCCTCTTGCAGGCACTCCCTCCTCTTCACATTCTCTGCTCTACTTCCACCATGCTCTGCTCCTTGAGGGGCAGCCCCAATTCATTGAGGTGACCTACTTGGACGGCCAGCCTATCCAACATTATGACAGCAACACAAAGAGGATGAGGCCTTTCCCCCTGTGGAATAACCAACTGGACGATACATATTACCAGTTTGAATCAGCTAATATGAAAGTCTTTGAGAGACATTTTCCAGGAAAATTGAAAAAAATATCAGTTTCACAGAAAAACAACCAGAACAACGGTGAGAAGACAAAACAGCAGTGTTAATTCTCCTCCCTCCATTAAATGAAAAATCCAACTGGACATCTTGAAGGTTAAACATTCATTCGTTGATGATTCAGGTGAAAGTCAAACAGAGGCTTGAGACAGATGCTCAGGGGTTGATCCAGTGTGGATCTTTTATCCCTCCTTTCCTCTTAGCATCAGGAAAGGAAAGGAACGACCCATCTTCTCTTTTACCAGGTGGAGATTTTTGTTGTGTGGGTAATGGGTCTGGGTGGAAAAAAATGGCTGATGCCAAGTGGCCCCGGGAGAGAATATATTATCTGGACTGCTTCCAGTCAGGATTCAGGCCTGGGCATGGGATTGAAATAGCATTCATTACACTTTTGGATAACTTCTGGTGGGCTCATGATAGGGATAATGCATCCTTCCTGGTTGTTGAGCCTGTCTCAGCCAATCTGCACTACCAGGAGTGGGTTAAGATTAAAATAGATTGCGACAACCATGCATCTCTTTTGTACTTTCTAGGAGAAAAGGTGACCATTGCTTTTGGAAGAGGAAAGGGAAGAACTCTATTCTTTATACGAATCCTTAAAAAGTGCATATCTCTGTTAGATACATGTATTTGCTTCATACAGAATATTCTCTATGTTTTGCCAAGAGGAATTTTTTTTAAAAAATTAAATTCTGAGTAGTCCAACTGAAATATTTATATTGGGGAAAAAAGCCTTGTTTTTTTTGCTTTATATACTATAAAACTGGGATGTGAATTTGAATTTGCAGCTTGCAAATATTTTCACTACTGCTTTATCTGAACTTATTCAACTGAATTTAGTATTACTTGATTTGAGCTACTGATATCCTCTATTAATGAACACCTGTTAAGCCACTTTTCAAAGTTACGATGATGCTGAACAAGACTTATGACCAATCCTCAGAGTTGTGGCCATCACACATCCCTCAGTCACATGATCACAATGTCAGGGTTCCAACTAATCAACCCAGGCAAATCAGAACTCTGATTTGTAGGATCCTCCTCAAAGAACTTCTTTACTAAGTACATCAGATCAGCATGGCTTAAAGGAAAACCAATTCTAAATATTTCCCATGGTTTCAGTATAATTAAAATAGGAAATAACCCATCCACCAATGTCACAGGTCATGTTGCCCCATTAGGTCAATTAGCAGACTCTTCAGGCACTCCTTCCCTGACCTAATCTGTTGCCAGTAGAGATGACCTTGGTTCTCACGAGAAACTCTCTGTTGTGTCTAGTAAGGCATTCCAACCTCCTTCCCTCTCTATGTTGCAACGGAGGAACTGGAAAATGGCTGTTGCCAGGTTTGGTTTGGAGTTGACACACAATTTGAGCACTTGGCAACTGGCAACACATTTACGAGTGTTGCAGCATCCCACGGTCATGCGATCACCATTGTGACCTGCACAGGCAGCTTCCAACAAGCAAAGTTAATGCATGAGTTCCTTAATCATCGCATCTGGAATGACTATCATAAATTGGCCCTATCAGGTGAATTTCTTCTTTATGGCCATGTCACAGTGAGGGAATTGCCTATCAAAATTATGGTAGTTCACTGAGAACTACCTGTACAACCATCTACACTGGACTTCTTTTTCTGAGTTTATTTAGATTTTCTTTCTTAAGTCATCATATGCAGAATTACAGGAGGGCATTCCAATACAAGAAAGGAGGTTTAATGATTTATTGGAAGAAAAACAATTCCTTCTGTATATTTTTCAAAATTGGGGAAATTATGTAAGTAATTTTTAAAAATGGAATGAGAGATTTAACTGGCAAAAACAGATTATAAAAAAGATTTCTTACCTAACTGTAACCCTAACCTTATTTTGTTCCAACCTATTCAGTTACATGCCATTTAACTATATTTTTCTTCACAATACTAGAAGTTAATACAATTAAATATTTATAACTGTCAGACCTGCCCTAATAAATAGTTTAATGAATAAATTGTTTTGCGAACAGTCTCTTCAACAGCAGGCTGGTTGGTAAGCCATTGCATTCCATTCTGAGGGTTTGACCTTGAGATGGTGTCTGGAAGGCAAAATGAATTGGTAGTCTTTCCCCCTCCCATCCGGTTCCATGCTAGTCACCTGACCACCTTCTCTATAAACTTTTCCAGAAAGAGAAGGGAAAACTGGAAAGTAATAAAAATCATCCATCATTGCTAAGTCTGGCAATCGCTTCTTGAGGAAGAGATGTACCACCACGTTTTTCAATGTATACCTCTTGAACACAGCTGCTGGTAACTTACTGGGAACACTTGACCATCCAAGAAGAACAAGGATTTAACATAGAGATGGCCCCTCTCACACATCCCAAGGACCTTGTCCACTTTTTTGATACTGTTCCCAGATAACAGAGAAAGACTCCACCTTGGTCAACTCCATAGCACCTGCCCCACTTTGAGCCTGAGTAACTTTAATCTGTCAAATGACTAGCTTTTCTTTATAGAGGCCCTTCATGTGTTAACTATGCCTCTCCTTCTCTATAGGGATCCGGTTATTGTAAAAACAGCTACCAAATAGAATTTTCCAACTGCAATAAGAACAGAAAAATTATTCTGTTTTGCCACCTTTATAATCATTCTTCAGTCTCCATTATGGACTTATACAAGTTTTGCTATAGTGGCAAATATTTGTAGCTCAGATATAGGATGTGGGTAAAGGTTTGTTCTCCAGAGACCGAATCTTTGCCCTCACTTATATGAAGTATTTGGATAGACTAATTACAGGGGGCTCAGGACTCTCTTTTGATACTTCATCTCCCAAAGCTTCTCAGAAAACCCAAGAGAATTCAAAATACAGAGAAGCTGCTTGGGTATAGTTCAATTAGGACACTGCCACTCTCTCATTCCAGAAAGTGACCAAGGCCTAACGTAAACTACCGATCAGAGACTCACATAAGTCCCCAAAAGCCCTCTGTATACTAACTAGATTTATGCAGTGCAGTGTGGTATATACTACAACAAACAGAAATAAAGAAATACAGACTGAATATCCATATAGATTTTATTGGTATTTTCCAGATATACAAAAAATGTAGAGAATTGTCTGGCCATAGACAAAACTGGTTCTTTTTATCCCCATTATAGTACAACTTACAACCTTCTTTTTAAAACAAATCCCATACAGGTAATCCTCAACTTACAACAATTCATTTAGTGACCATTCAAAGTTACAATAGCACCAAAGTGACTTATGACCATCTTTCACACTTATGACTGTTGTATATAGACATTTGCATACTCATAATACTACGTTCCGATTGGACAATCACTACCGCCTAACGATTGGTGGTTAACAACAGTTTATGATCGGCCGCCCAAACGGCGGTAGGTTTAAAATAATGCCATTGGTTGCGAGCCGCGAGCAGCCGCTATAAAAGAGTTTTAGTTGAAGTTACTGACAGTTAAATAAAGAGCTGAACTCAACTCCGGTCTCGAGTCTACTTTGTTCTGGCAATAGAACACTGGCGACGAGGGTGTGATCGAAGAGACAAAGACCATAAGCACGTGGCAACGAAAGCCGAGAAATCAACGAGATGGCCGGCAACAACTTGCCACCCGCACTGTTCAACCCAGCCGAAGAAGACTGGGAATCATATATTGACAGGTTCCTGATGTTCCTGGAAAGCAACGAACTACAAGGAATCACTGACCAGAGGAAGAGAGCTGTATTCCTGATGCATTGCGGACCAACCATTTTTAAAATGGCGAAAGCATTGGCGAAACCGCACGATGTCAAACAGATGGTATGGCCGGACCTGAACCAGATGCTGAGAGCCCATTACGCGCCTGTTGTGTCCAACCTCATTTGAAGACACAAATTTTATAAACGGGATCAACGAGAAGGTGAAAGTATCGGGGATTTCGTAGCAGCACTAAGGGACATTGGAGGAGCATGGGGGTTTTGTCAACATGGACGAAGCCATGAGAGACCGCGTGGTTCTCGGATTGAGAGACACTACCCTCCAGAGCAAACTACTAAATCGACCCAACATCACCGTAAATGAAGTCATCGCTGAGGCAACCGCAGCTGAGGCAGCGAAAAAATCTGCAGCAAAAATGAAGCAAATGAATACGGCCAACAGCCCAAGCCAGAGCAGAGAAAAGAAAGCGGAAGGTACCCAGAAACACACTACCGCAACCACCCACCATGAAGACATCGAGTCATCAACGAAGACAAAGAGGTACATAGGCTCCAGTCAGAACGGAACCGGCGAGAGAAAAGAGGAAGGAAACCTGATTTTCTGTGTGCTGGATGTGGAGGAAATCACCCGCGTTCTGAGTGCCGTTTTTTGGACGCTATCTGCAGACACTGCGAAAAACGGGGGCACATTGCAAGGGTCTGCCGAAACAAAAAGAGCTATAGTCCAAAAAGATGAGGCAGCACCCCCCCAGAACTAAGGAGAAGCAAACCAAAAGTCATTTGAGCCGGGAAAATAGAAGTCGGCAACTCAACGAGAAGGAAGAAACACACCAGACAATTATCATTGGGAATGCCAGAGCAACTGATGCTAAGAAGGTTCGAATAAACGTCAAAATAGAGGGAGAGCCATGTGAAATGGAAGTGGACTCCGGCTCATATCTGTCAATGGTATCATGGAACACAATAAAAAGCTTGATACCAGACATACGATGAAAAGAACTCAAAGAGCAAAGCCTGACATTAAAAGACTACCAAGGAAACAAGATTCAGCTAGTTGGACTGGGACATTTCAAGGTAAAATTCAGGAAACACACTGAAATTTTTCCATTGACCATCATTGACTGAGACCGCCCCAGCCTGCTTGGTTTAGAATGGTTCGTGCCTTTGGGGATCGAAGTGACAGGAATCAACAGTGTCACCGAGACAGACTGGGAAGAAAGCCTGATGGAGGAGTTCCAGGACGTATTCGACGGGACGCTAGGCAAGTACCGTGGGACCCCTATCTCATTTAGCCTAAACCCGAACATAGCCCCCATCCGGCTAAAGGCCAGGTGCGTCCCCTTTGCATTAAAGCCAAAAATCGATGAGCAGCTGAACAAACTCATCGCACAAGGGGTGCTAGAGCCAATCGACCATGCAAGATGGGAAACCCCGATTGTAACTCCCGTGAAACCAGATGGGTCCGTGCGCATCTGTGGTGACTATAAGGCCACCCTGAACCACGCATTACAGCAGAGCGCATACCCCGTTCCAGTAGTTGAGCACCTTTTCCACTCTTTGGGGGGAGGAAAATTTTTTGCAAAGCTCGATCTCGCGCAGGCATATCAACAATTGCCGGTTAATTCCGAGACGGGAGAGGCACAAACTATTGTAACACACAGGGGGGCTGTCAGTGTGTGCTCCCTTCAAGATCCAAGAAAGAAATACTCAGACTCCATGGGTTAGAGCAAAGTTATCCTTTTACTGGAAATCAAAGTGGAAGCTACAGATTTAATTCCAAATCTGAGGAATTGGCGCGCAGATCACATATACAAAGGAATGGAATTGTTCCCACCCCCCAAGGTCCAAATGACTCTTCCAATTAAAAGTTCTGAATATGATCATGTGGCCATTTTCAGGTGGTGGTGAGGCCTCTGTCCGTTGACCTTGACATATTTTGATAAAACTTCGCAGCTGCGCAAAAGGGATAGAAGCTAGCCAAGAAATGGAAAGTTAAAGACAAGAATTCATACACCCCCTCCCCTTGCTACCCACAGCAAAGGAATGCAAAACACCTCCATCTCTCTTCCCCCCCAAGTTCCCCCTCCCCCCATTGCTAATGACAGCCGAAAGAAATAGTATAGCATAGCAGCAGAGAAGATGCAATAGATAGGATGCAGAAGATATAAGATGTGGAAGATATATTGAGGCTGACAGGGGCATTTAAATGCAACAGATTGCAATTTGGTGTCAACGTGGCCCCCGGCGTTTTCCAAAGCCTGATGGAACGCCTCCTCCAAGGACTAAAAGGGGTGGTTCCCTATTTTGATGATGTATTGATATCCGCTGGAAATAAAAAACAACTAAAGGACCGGCTAAGGGCAGTCTTGCAAAGGTTTAGAGAAGCAGGACTCAAGGTCAAAAAAGAAAAATGATGATGTATTGATATCCACTGGAAATAAAAAAAGAACTAAAGGACTGGCTAAGGGCAGTCTTGCAAAGGTTTAGAGAAGCAGGACTCAAGGTCAAAAAAGAAAAATGCCAACTTGCCACAAATCAGGTCGAGTTCCTAGAATATCTTATTGATGAAGCAGGAATCCACCCCACCGAAAAAAAAATACGAGCAATAAAAGAAGCACCCAGACCCAAAACCAAAACAGACTTGCAGGCATTCTTGGGACTCATTAATTTTTATAATGTCTTTTTGCCGCAGAAAGCAACAATAGTGGAACCACTGCATAGACTACTCGATAAAAAAGCCATCTGGAAATGGGGCCGACATGAAGAAACAGCATTCAAAAGGATTAAGGACTTAATAACATCCAAATCTGTATTAATCCAATACAGCAACATGCTACCACTGACTGTCACCTGCGACACTTCACCATTCGGCGTAGGCGCAATACTTAGCCACACACTACCTGATGGCAGAGAGGCACCGATTGCCTTTTATTCCAAAACGCTGTCGAAAGCCGAAAGAAAGTACAGCCAACTGGACAGAGAAGCCTTGGCCGCTATCTCGGGGGTAAAAAGCTTTCATGAATACCTTTATGGTAGGACATTTTCCTTAATTACCGACCACAAGCCACTGTTAGGAATCCTGGCAGGAGACAGAGCCACCCCCAACATCCTGTCTCCAAGGATGACAAGATGGTCGGAATTTCTTGCAGCCTACAATTACAAGCTCGTCTATCGACCAGGAAAAGCCATACTCCACGCCGACGCACTGAGCCGCTCACCCCTACCAGACCACGACAACAACCCAGCTCCCACCACACGCACTCTGCAAATTGAAACAATATCGAACCTGCCCATCACCGCATCGGACATTGCAAGGGAAACCGCAAAAGACACACTAATGGCCTGACTCCTGAACGGTGGGGAGGGGCTGGGCGGAAAATGACAAAAATGAGACTTTTAAACTGTTCAGAACCCGGCAAACTGAGCTGTCAATTGAAAAAGGATGTATATTATGGGGGGATAGGGTTGTTGTTCCAAGAAAATTACAAGAAGACGTGCTGAACATGTTACATGAGGTACACCCGGGCATGGTAAAAATGAAGTCCCTGGCCAGAAGCTACATCTGGTGGCCAGGAATAGACAAGGACATTGAAACCTGGGTAAAAACATGTAATAAATGCCAGTCATCCAGACCTATCCCCCCTTTAGCACCGGTGCTTGACACCCAGAGGCCCCTGGTCAAGGATCCACATAGACTTCGCCGGACCCACAAAGGGATATACATTTTTAATCATCGTCGATGCCTACTCGAACTGGTTGGAGGTCAGCATCATGAGTTCAACAACGACTGAAGCCATCACTAAACAACTAAAGAAACTCTTCGCCACTCACGGATTACCAGACGTGTTAGTCTTGGACAATGGCCCACAGTTCACAGCTTTAGCTTTTGAACAATTCCTCGCAGAACAAGGCATACGACATGCCCTGACAGCGCCAGCTCATCCGGTGGCAAACGGACGGGCGGAACGCATGGTTCAATACACGAAAGAAGCATTAGAAAAAATTGAAGGGGGCAACATGCAAGACAAAATAAATACAATGCTCACAATTCAACATATAATGCCGTGCACATCAACAAACAAGAGTCTGGCTGAACTGTTAATGGGCAGAAAACTGTGAACATATTTGGACAGACTACACCCCACCTACAACCCCGAGAAGCCACCAGACTCCTCCAGTAAGTACTGCACGTTTATACCAGGCGACCTGGTATATGCGAAAAATCTTACTGGAGACCCATTGTGGTTACCGGCCACGATAACACAAATAACTGGGCCCCGGTTGTACCGATTGGAAACGATGGACGGCAGAACCTGGAAAAGGCACATAGACCAACTACGATCTCGATACCTCGAACACAACACCGACACACCCTGAAACATAGAGCAAACTCATACAAAACAACCAATAAATAATAATAAAACCAGAGGGGGGGGGAACCCTTAAATAATAAAGAAAAGGAAGACCCTCCTTTAACACAATTAAAAACAGGCCACCAACCAGCAACAGAAAGCCAAAGAACAAATAAAAACTACTTACCGACAGGCGAATTCAAAAGAGGGGAACTGGAGGAGAACCAGGGAAGAAGCAGCCGAGCCGACTCTACCTGCCCGAGTATGCCAGAAGGGAGCGGCAGGACCCGTTCAACCAACCTAACAAAGCACGGTGGGAGCGGCATGGCTGACGCACCCTTCCAGGAGGTTCCTGAGAGAAGGACAGGAGAGGCATCGATCCTGTCCGAACCATTTGAAGACAACACAGAGACTGAGCTGCGCAGGTCAAGTAGGACCCACAAAAGCCCCGCCTATTTGCGTGACTACGTCGCATAAAGTTGGACCGTACCAAGAGGGGAGGGGTGTTGTATATAGACATTTGCATACTCGTAATACTACATTCCGATTGGACAATCACTACCGCCTAACGATTGGTGGTTAACAACAGTTTATAATTGGCCGCCCAAACGGCGGGAGGTTTAAAATAATGCCATTGGTTGCAAGCCGCGAGCAGCCTCTATAAAAGAGGCTGCCACGGCTCGAGTTTTAATTGAAGTAACTGACAGTTAAATAAAGAGCTGAACTCAACTCCAGTCTCGAGTCTACTTTGTTCTGGCGATAGAAAAATGACCATTGTAGCATTTTTAGTTCGTTTTTGGCCCTTTTTGACCAGCAGAGGGCTGCAGGAGGCCATGGAGGGCGAAAACGAGGTGAACCTCCCGTGCCTCGTTTTGGCCAGTAAAGTGCTGCAGGAGGCCATTCAGGCCAAAAACAGGGCAGAGGAAACCGTGTGCGACTTCCGCAGGTCCCTTTTGGCCAGCAGGGTGCTGCAGGAGGCATCTGTCCCATTTCCCCCCCACGCTCACCACCGCCTCACCACCAGCTCGCAAAGGAGAACTACAGAGGAGAACTGCTGATCCAGCCCTCAAAGAAATCCAGTTTAACTCCCCCGAACTAGACCAACAATCAAGTAAATTCTCCGATCAAGGAATTATCAACATAGACAAAGAAACTAACAGTAATCTTGAAACCATCAAGAACGTTCCCACTAACACTGACAGGGCAAGCCACTTGTACATAAAAATAAGAAACTCTATTCCCTTCTAGCATTGATGATGTTACCTAGTTTGGTGAAGAAATGTCTGCAAGAAAACCACCAAGTTCAGAGCTCAAAGGACCTCTCATTTTTTACCTTTCCAAACATAGAGGTAGTCCTTGATTTATGACCACAATTGACCCCAACATTTCTGTTGCTAAGCGAGACAGTTGTTAAATGAATCTTGTCCCATTTTACGACCTTTCATGCCACAGTTGTTAAGTGGATCACTGCAGTTGTTTAGTAACATGATTGTTAAGTAAATGTGGCTTTCCAATTGATTTTGTTTGTCAGGTTACAAAAGGTGATCACAAGGACACTGCACCCATCATAAATATGAGTCAGTTGACAAGCATCTGAATTTTGATCGTGTGATGATGGGGATGCTGCAAGGGTCATAAGTGTGAAAAACAGTCAAAAGTCACTTTTTTCAGTACCATTGTAATTTCGAAGGATCACTAAATGAACTGTTGGTAAGTGGAGGTCTACCTGTATTTTTCAGGTTTCCAATTCCTTACATAACAGATTCCTTCACTAGCCTGTATAATGTAAAATCTAGGAAATTGATGTTTTCTACAAGCTAGACAGGTTTCGATATGCCACTTTTGCTAGCATAAATATGACCTTCCACATGTAAAGGAGGTAATATTCTAGTCCCACTATTAGAAGAAAAAATGCTGTTTCTTTTGTTTCTGCTTCAATCTTTTATAAATGTCTATTTCTCAGATCATACCTTGCAGTGCATCCAGGGCTGTAAACTCACAGCTGATGGAAATGAAATATCTATTCATCAGGATGCTTTTGATGGAAAACGCATGAAAAAGACATTTCACCGAGAAAGATTTTACTTGAACGGAAATTGCATTCAGTGGCTGAAGAGGTACCTTGGCTTGAAGCCACAAAAGAAAGGTAGGCTTGGCAGAAAGTAGAGAGCAATCCTTCCATATTCTTCCTGTTTTTAATCTTATAGTTAAACTCTCAATGATATGCTTTGGAGTCAAACAAGACATTATGATGGTTGTAAACAGCTTAGATTTTTTTTTTTAAAAAATGTCCCTTCTGTTTTTATTCCATGTAGTTAGGAAAGCAAAACACCTTTGGATCTAAAAACTATTTTCCACTGGAAAACATTTTAATTGCAGAAATAATTTCTTATAGATTAAGGATATTTTTAATCCCAATCTGGTATAAAATGGTACCCTTCCCTCTGGCATCTCTCCACTACAGCATGCCATTTGCAGAAATATCCACAAAGCAATCAACGTTGTCACAGGCTAAATTTTCACTGGGCTGAATTTTCCTGAATAAAGACAAGCATATTTATTTATTAAATTTATTTGCTGCCCATCTCCCTGTCCAGTGATTTTGGGTGGCTTACAACATCTTAAAAAGCACAACATCAATCAATTAAAGCATAAATGTTGGTCTGAGGGTATTAAGTAAACAGAGGAACTGGGTTTGATCCTGGTCATGTCTGAAAAAAAAGAAAAGGAGGAAAAGCTGAGAAACAAATAATTGTTTCCACACGTGAAATGCTGCTTGCTCTCTTTGCTGGGATTTGGCTTCAAATTAATAGTGTAGTTGCATGGGGGAAGGGGATTGGAGTGTTCCTTGTGCCAAACTTACACCTGAATTGTGCAGCATTCACAATCGTTCTATCCCAAATGATGGGTACTTGCAAGGAGGCAGTTACATAGAGTGGTATGAACTGTAGAATACAGAATAACAGAGTTGGAAGAGACATTGGAGATCTTCTAGTCCAAGAGTCCCCAATTCCCAGTCCATGGACTGGCACTGGTCTGTAGCATGCCAGAAACCAGGCCATATAAACAAGCGAAGCCCCATCCGTGTATGTGAAACCAGGCCCCCTCCGCTTCATGGAAAAACATCTCTGCATGGAATTGGTCCTTGTGCCCAAAAGGTTGGGGTTTGCTGCTCAAGCGGCAGATTCTATATCATTTTAGACCAGTGGCCCCCAACCTTTTTTGTACCACGGCCCGGTACAAAATGTACAAAATGATCCACGGACCGGTACCGGCATCGGCACACACGACCAAGGCAAGGTGAGCTGAGCGACCGGCCAGCCAGCCAGCCGTCCCCCGCTTCTCCCTGCCACCTTCAACTCCTCCTTTGTACCTTCTCGCGGTCGATGGGCTTTTCGGGCTCTTTCTTAATCTCCTCCTGAGTAACGCGAGACTCCACTGCCATCAGGACGGCTCTTCGTTCGAAGCCGCCCCCTCCTTCGACAAAACTAAGGCACGAGGATTCCTTCAGCACCCAAACGCCGCTTTCCAACCGACAACCGACAAGCTCACCCGGAAGCACTTTCTCAAGCGCCGTCAAAACAAGATGGCGGTGCCCAAGCAAAATAGGCAGCCCGGTACAAAATGATCCAGGACCGGTACCGGTCCGGGGCCCGGTGGTTGGGGACCACTGTTTGAGACCAATGGCTGTCCAGTCTTAAAAATCTCCAGTGTAGATGATCCCCTGGGACAGGAGTCGTCAACCTTGGCAGCCTTAAGACTTGTGGACTTCAAGCCCTAGAATTCTGTCCACAAGTCTTTAAACTTGTCAAGGTCAGAGACCCCTGCTCTCTGGGAAACTTTCCACCATTTGTGTTTAGGATTCGTGTATCAGTCAGAGGAGGGCTGCGCTTTCACCACAGACCATCATTGTTACTTTGCAGAGCTTCCAATGGTGAAAGTGACTCATCAGGAGGTCATCATCGACAACCTTCAAGCCCTCACCTGCCAGGCCTATGGCTTCTATCCCAAGGAGATCAGTGCCAGTTGGAGGAAGGATGGGGAAATCTTCAACCAAACCAACAGTTCTGTGCTCATTGTCCCAAACTCAGATGGGACTTTTAATGCCAGGCTGAGTATTCAGATCAATCCCAAGGAGAGGAACCTCTACAGATGCCATGTGGAACACGTCAGCTCCAGCGAGCCCTTGGATTTTGTCTTGCAGATAACAGGTGAGAAATCAAAATAGAGAAAAGGTCTGGGTTCCAGCTGGAAAGGTACAGTACAGCTACAGGATATACAGGTAGTCCTCAACTTACATCAGTTCATTCAGTGACTGTTCAGAGTTACAACGGCAGTGAAAAATGTGATTTACGATCGTTTTTCACACTTACTACCATTGCATCCCCATGGTTACGTGATCAAAATGCAGACCCTTGACAACTGGTTCATATTTATGACGGTTGCAGTGTTTTGGGGTCATGTGACTCCCTTTTGTGACCTGATGAGCAAAGTCAATAGGGAAGCCAGATTCACTTAACTGGGTTACTCACTTATCAACTGTAGTGATTTACTTTAACAACTGTTGCAAGAAAGGTTATAAAATGGGGAAAAACTAACTTAAAAAATGTCTCGCATAACAACAGAAATTTTAGAATAGAATAAAATTCTTTATTGGCCAAGTGTGATTGGGCACACAAGGAATTTGTCTTGGTGCAAATGCTCTCATTGTATATAAAAGAAAAGGTGCATTCATCAAGAGTCAAGAAGGTACAACACTTAATAGTCAAAGGGTACAATAAGCAATCAAATCATACTAGGAAACAGTCCATATAAATCTTAAGGACAGAAGTGACAAAGTTACAGTCATACAGTCACAAGTGGGAGGGGATGGGTGGTAAGGAGTGATGAGAAGATTAATAGTAATAGTAATGCAGACTTAGTAAATGGTTTGACAGTGTTGAGGGAATTATTTGTTTAGCAGAGTGATGGCGTTCAGGAAAAAACTGTCCTCGTGTCTAGTTGTTCTGGTGTGCAGTGCTCTGTAACGTCATTTTGAGGGTAGGAGTTGAAACAGTTTATGTCCAGTATGTGAGGGGCCTGTAAATATTTTCACAGCCCTCTTTTTGACTCATGCAGTATACAGGTCCTCCATTGAAGGCAGGTTGGTAGTAATTGTTTTTTCTGCAGTCCTAATTATTCTCTGAAGTCTGTGTCTGTTTTGTTGAGTTGTAGAACCAAACCAGACAGTTATAGAGGTGCAGATGACAGACTCAATAATTCCTCTGAAGAAGGAATTTTGGGTTCATTTATGATACTGAGGACTACTGTTAGGAATATAAGTCACCTAACAGGTATTTGGGTTGGACAATATATAAACCAGGATAAACATTTTAAAACTTTTATCTTTAAGAAAATGCAAAACTGTAATTAGGTGTGGTTTCTCAAACGGCCATAAGATGGAGCCAGAAACCTGGTTTGTCTCTGTCTTAGTCTCAGAAGAGAGTGTCTCTGTTTCCTTGTTGGAAAGTATTGCTGTTCCTCCATTTTTCCTAATTGACTGATATTCATGGATTTGATGTAAGTCTGATACTGAACTCTTTTTGACACTTGATTTTTTTATTGGATTATCCCTGGATTGAAAAACTGACTGATTTACCTATGAATGACTTTGGACTGTGTTTGGACTTTGCTTAAACCTTTCTGGAAGTAAAAAGCTACATTTACTGTATAGTGTATCTGTGTTCTGTGTGTGTATTATTCAAACGCTTCTCTCAAATACGTCTCCCTGTATGCGCTCATTCACCTAATGGGGAATTACCTCAACAACTACCTATACTACCTCACCCTCTGCTCCGTGCAAGTGGGGATCTGCTTGTCCAATCTTTTCTTTTATGTATACTGAGAGTATTTACACCAAGACAAATTCCTTGCTCATGGCCCAGTAGTGGCTGCGGCCTGGGGGTTGGAGATCCTTAACCTAGGGCCCTAGCCTATCCAAGAGATCACTAACTCTGGACATTGGATACCCACTGAATATTGCCACTCAATTTATTTGCCAGTAGTCTACGTAAAATCATATTTCTCTAAAGGACATCTCTTTGGAATTTCTTACATCTCAAGTATTTAGTCAATGATGGATATAGAATATCCAGTATAGGAGCAAATATATATTTTTTCCTGCGTTGCCAACTGTAGGAATGACTGTCTTCTGATGCTTCCGTTTCTGCAGGCCCCTCAGCCAAAGTAACTACTCACGTGCTGAATGTCAATGAGACTCTCTTGAACTGCTCTATCTGCAACTTTTATCCTGAAGACATAGATACCAGCTGGATGAAGGATGGAGAGAACTGGGATCAAGAGACTTTTCGTGGGGATATCATCCGTAATTGGGACGGGACCTACTGCACCTGGATCAGCATTGACATTAACCCCATGGAGGAATACCGCTACCGTTGCTATGTTGAACATGAAGGCTTGCAGGAAGCACTCAGTGTAAAAGGTGACAAATTGCAGTGAGGGGGAGAATTGTGGGTGATGAATTTCGGACTGGCAGTTCCCTGCATTGGTTTTATTCTATTGAAAGACTCCCATTTTTTTAGTTTGTGGACTTGCAGTGAAGAGTCTGCACACCAATCTTATTTCATTCTTCAACCCAATGACTAAATTAGTAGACCAGCAAAATACTGTGGACATAATATATTTAGATTTCAGCAAGGCATTTGACAAAGTAGACCACAACCTACTTCTTAGTAAGCTAGAAAAAAGTGGAATAGATAGCAACACCACTAGATAAACTCGCAACTGGCTGATAAACCATACTCAACGAATAGTCCTTAATGGGTCTAAGTCTACATGGAGGGAAGTAAGCAGTGGGGTGCCACAAGGTTCCGTCTTAAGCCCAGTACTCTTCAATATCTTCATTAATGACTTAGATGAGGGAATAGAAGGGGAACTTACCAAATTTGCAGATGATACTAAGCTGGCAGGAATAGCTAACACCCAAGAAGATAGGTTCAAGATCCGGATGGATCTTGACAGTCTAGAACACTGGGCTGTATCTAACAAAATGAAATTCAATGTAGAGAAAAGTAACATCCTACACTTAGGCAAGAAAAACCAAAAGTATACATACAGACTGGGAGAAACCAGGCTCAACAGCAGTAACGGGTAGGTTGGACTAGATGACCTATTACAACTCTGATTATCTATTAGATGAACTGTGAGAGGGATCTTGGAGTCCCAGCTAGATATGAGCCAGCAGTGTGCAGCAGCAGCCAAAAAAGCTAATGCAATCCTAAATTGTATTAACAGAAGGATACAATCAAGATCAAGGGAGGTACTAATATCTATAAAGCCTTAGTAAGACCACACCTAGAGTACTGCATCCAGTTTTGGTCACCACCTTATAAAAAGATGTTGAGACTCTAGAAAAAGTACAGAGAAGAGCAACCAGGATGATTAGGAGACTAGAAACTAAAACATACGAAGAATGATTACAGGAACTGGGCTTGGCTAGTCTAGTAAAGAGAAGGACCAGGGGAGACATGCTAGCAGTGTTCCAATATTTGAGGGGCTGCCACAGGGAGGAAGGGGTCAATCTATTTTCTAAAGTGCCTGTAGGCCAGACAATGAATAATGGATGGAAGCTGAACAAGGAGAGATTCAACCTGGAAATAAGGAGAAACTTTCCGACAGTGAGAACCATCAACCCATGGAACAGAAGTTGCCCTCGGAAGTTGTGGGAGCGCCATCAGTTGAGACTTTCAAGAAGAGATTGGACTGCCATTTGTCAGAAATGGTGTAGGGTCTCCCGCTTGGGCGGGGGGGTGGACTAGATGACCTACAAGGTCCCTTCCAACTCGGATTATCTGTTATCTGTTAATTTGCCTGTATTTAAAGATGGCTGAAAAATTCCATCACACTAATGTAGGCTAATTGTGCTGAGATATACTTGATCTCTAATGTTCTCTTCCCAATTTACTTCCACTGATGTGGTATTCGATATGGTTTTACTGCCTTCTATGCATCTTTTTCCAAGCATTCACATTATAGGTAGTCATTGACTTAGTATTACAATTGATCATGGAGACTTAGTTATAAGATGGGGTAATCATTAGAAAAGTTCCCACATGACCTGACTTGGTTTTATGACCATCTTTATGTCAAGTGAACCACATGGTTGTTAAGTGAATATGTGGTTGTTATGTGAATTCAGTATATCCAAAAGGTGGTTCTTTACCACTTTCGTGCCATAAGTACATTATTTCATTTTTTTAATTAATAGAAAAAAAATAGTCTATTCCAATTGGAGAAATTGCATGTTTCTTCAATTCAGTTTTCAATATCCAAGGTACTTTTCCAGTATACCAATAGTGGGAAGAATAACCAATATTCCTGCAAAAGAATAAGGTTCCACAATTTTGGAATATAATTCAAAATAACATTGACATTTTAAAGACTGACATTTTAATGTATTCTTCTAGCAAGAATTAAAATATGAACAAGAAAAGTCTAATGTATCTTCAAATTTCTTACAACTCCAACAGCAAGAATCTACAGTCCATCCTTTCTGATTCATTCTTTGACCACGCCAATAAAATCTTTGGATAGATAATTTCAATTTTAAGCCTAAGGAAACATTTAAATGTTAAAAATAACCTTAAAAAAATATTGATCCCCCGTCATCTCATGTTCCAACTCATTATTCCATAAGTCATAAGCATTTCAACTTTATAGTTGAATTCAACTATTCAAATTTAATAATTTCAATTTTATAGTTATTTTTCCATTTCTGACATAACCTCAAAGTCAGTTTGATTTCAGAAACAACCTCGATTAACAATGATAACTTCTTTGAGGAAACTAAGGTTTCTAGTCCATGTCGAAAAATCAAAACATACTTGAGTTGATTATTTTGCCATTTGTGCTTATACCGCAAAGAGAAATTTATCTCTAATTGTTGAAAATCATTAATATAAATTGTAAATATCACAACTCAACTATTGTAAAGTGCTCTGCACAGGGCTGTTCTTGAAGATCACACAGAAGCTTCTGCTGGTCTAGAATCCAATCAGAATAGAGCTGGAAGGGACCTTGGAGGTCTTCTAGTCCAGCCTCCTGCTCAAGCAGAAGATCCTATACCATTTCAGCCAAGTAACTGCCCAGTGTCTTGTTAAAGACTTCCAGTGATGAAGCAACCACAACTTCTGAAGTCAAATGGTTCCACTGGTTAATTGTCCTCACTGTCAGGAAGTTTCTCCTTAATTCCAGGTTGCTTCTCTCCTTGATTAGTTTCCATCTATTATTTCTTGTCCTGCCCTCTGGTGCTTTGGAAAATAAATTGACCCCCTCCTCTTTGGAGCAGCCTCTCAAATACTGGAAGACTGCTATCATGTCCAGCATGATATCCAACAGCACAGCAAGACCCCTGATCTGTGATCTACACTGGTGACCAGTTTGCTTGCAGTGGCGGGATGAGGGGATGATTCATGATGCTGGTTATGACCTATAAAGTCATAACATGGTATAGGGCCCTTGAGTATCTCCCACACTGTCTGTCCAACTTATTCAAGCTGAGAGGCCTGCTTTAATCCTCTCCACAAACATTAATACTATTTTGGTTTCCTTTAAATTACTTTGCTTTTTTTCCCAATTAAGCTCCAATAGCCATAATCTCAACTGAGGAAAATTTCCAGCCATTACTCATCATTTGCTGTGTTGTGTCAGTCCTTGGCATCCTTATCTTATTGTCTATAATCCTTGGAATCCGGTGGTGCAGTAAGTATCCTGTAAAATATCTTTGTTGTTGTGGGTAGTAAGATGTGAACACTATATTCCTTCCAAGTTTCCTTTGGGGCATTTCTGTGCATATTTCTTACACATTTCCTTAGCTCTCCTCAGGGGCTTCTGAACCCTTAGCTTCTTGCTAGGACCCCAACTAAGGACTTAACTTAATCAAAGGTTAGGACAGCTCCAAGTTCTCTTCTGTAACTGGAAAGAGGCATTGCAATTCTACTCTTCAATAGTTTTGGGTCAAAAAGCAGCAGAAAAATATTTCAACAAAATATATCTTTTTAGCCAGCTGTTTCTAACAATTGTACTCAATCCTTTCTAAAGGTTTTCCATGGAGCAAAGGAGGTAACATTTGTATTTTGAAGAGCTTCCTATTTCTGCTTAATAGCAATAGTAATAGCACTTAGACTTATATACCACTTCACAGTGCTTTACAGTGCTCTTTAAGCGGTTTACAAAGTCAGCCTATTGCCCCCAACAATCTGGGTCCTCATTTTACCGACCTCGGAAGGATGGAAGGCTGAGTCAACCTTGAGCTGGTCAGGATCGAACTGCTGGAGTGAGCAGTGAGTTAGCATGCAGTACTGCATTCTAACCACTGAGCCACCACAGCTCTTATAGTTTATAAGATAGTTTAACGATCTTAAGATCGTTTCTCAGGTAAGTTGTGACACAGCAACTATGGCAAGGTCTCCTGGGGCTTTTTCTGGCATAAAGGAAGAGATTGAACAGTCTCTGGTGGATTCTTTTAAATTTTAATTCTCTGATATTTGTTCTTGCAGAAAAGCGTCGACGTGATTGCAGATCAGCAGCAAGTGAGTGATCTCTTTGCCAGTTTGTATGATAGTCAGAAGCAAAAAAAAAGGGACAGAAAGGCTCATACCATCAATATTTCAACAAGAACATGCCATATATATGTTTCTATGTCATTGTTAGAAGCCTGGGAGAAATTACAGTCCTTGGTCCAGATGAAAAATGGGGGCCAAGGAGGCTCTTTCTGTGCAAAGGGAGGCAGAGGAGGGAGAGAATCGTGGCCAGTCTTCCTCTGGTTTTAGTCCCAGATCCCATGCAACTGCCTTTTCCATGCAGGCAGGAAATGGAGCTCCAAAGTAGTGGGCAGAATTGGGTAAGAACTGGGCAGAAGATGCTGGAGGGGGAAACCATCATCCCTTCAGAAGTTTGGTCCTGCAACTTCAGGAGCATCCAATACCAGGAGGCTGAAAGTCCCCGACTAGATGACTAGAGGACCTACAAGATCCCTTCCAACTTCAATAATTTTGTTCTGTTAAATGTGAACCAAACCTAGGGATGTTCTGTGATTTAAATGCTGAGGATGGTCTTGAAGAATCTTTTCAGTAAAGGGGCTTCAAATACCCTCCCGTAAGCAGGGGTGGTATCCTACTGGTATAACAACCGGTTCGGTGAGCATGTGCAGTACTTGCAAAACAACTTCTCCTGCAAGCAATCCCCATCTCCTGCTGACCTGGTCATTTAATTCCTTGCATTATGACTGCAAGGACTTACGATAATAATTCCAGGCTCAATTATGATTGTCAGTTGGGAACTACCTAAACATTGTGATGCCATGATCTTTCCCCCCTCCAGAAAAGGAAAAAAGTATGGGGTCGGCACAGAGTGCCCTGAATCCCAGGAAAGAGGATCCAAGAGGTGATGGACCCATTTTTCCTCCATGCGTCACCTAAAGTTTGAGAACCTCTTTGAATTTTCAATATTTCCGCATAAACATGACCACAAATGTAATCGATTTTCTACACAAGTCCTAAAGTTAGATAAAGAGTGTCCAATTTAACTCATGAATCCAAAACTTTATGCTTGTTCATTGGTTTATTGAGAACCACAGAAATGAATGCCATTGCAGGTCAGCTTTGAAGGGATTACGGGAGGTGCAGAAGGGACCCTGGGGGTGAACTTCTGGGACCAACACAATGAGGGTCTACGGATCAATAAGTGTGAGAATAGGTGAATGTGAAGCCTCTCTCTTATCTCAACACGGACTCCGTGTCCTTTTTTTTCCTTCAGAGAGTGACCCCAATTCCAGCTTGGATAATGCTGAAAAATACCCACTGAAAGAGAGAGAAGGAGTCCCGCCCCTCAACAACATTGCTGGTGAAGAAAGCAGAGGAGACAGCCCAACTTCTCAGGTTAGTTATACCTCCAAACACCTTTGCCTCTTTTCATTCACCCTCTCCCTATGCTGGTTCAAATGAAATGGGGATCAGATAGCTTATTGAGGTCCCTCCCAGCTCTGATTTTTCTCATCTTGTTGTTCTAGGACACCGAAGAGAAAAAACAGCCTTCAGAGAACCATCAAATAAGCATCTAACTCTCGGAATGGACCCAGATCAAATTTGATGTGGTTCGAGAAACACTCAAAAGGAAGATTGAGTGCTAAAATGGACCCAAACAGCCACAAAGTGGCAGGGGAAAAAAGCATGTCAGAAGAAATTGCCCTAAGGGACAAACCTTTCGTTTCAGGATCTATTAGGCTGGCTTTCCTACTGTGTAAGGCAGATTCCTAAAGTATCATGCATTTATTTTCCGGTGGAGCTTCAAGGACTAGATGAAAGCTACTTATGGTAACTTTAAATCTTCTAACTGAAGATAGGATGGTGAAATTTGATTTGGTAATTGATACTGATGAACTACAAAGTCTAAGACAGAATTGTGGCTATTTCTCTCTGAAGGCATTCAGCTTGTAGAATGTAGAAAACATATTGCCCATTGGTGACAGAATTAAGAAAAACAAACGACACAGTGGACACAGTGCAAGGAAATGCACAGAATAATCAGGTAGAAAGGCATTGCAACCAAGCTGCTATTATATCACATCTAAAAAAGAGCCTCCCTGGATACTTGCTCGATGCAGAGCATTCTGGGATGTTTGGATCAAAACGTACCAAAGCTTCACAAATTGCCAAAACATTTAGTATCTTACATGGCTGTGAAAGGGATTAAACACATTTTTACTATACAATGGATGATCTGTAGGATATATTCTTTACCGAGAATGCTCGCTTTCTTAGAATTCTCCAGTATAATTTCCCTGAGCAAGGCTCTTTGGCTGGAATCCAGCGGTACCCACTCTTCCTCCATGAAATACAGAGCCACCAACTCGAGGACAGATACAGAAATACAGAGCCACCAACAGAGGACACCGAGTCCCGAAAGATGAACAAAATATTCCTTAAGCAGAGAATCCCTGAAAGGAATAGAAAACTCTTTTAATTCACCAAACTAAAAAGGGAACTTTGCATCAGGATGAATGGATTTTTTACATCAGGATATATTGGTGGTTATGTCTCCATGTGCAGAGTTTCGTGATGGCTGGAGAATAATGCTGCATAATGCTGGAGAAGTCGAAGTGCACTAAACATGGCTCTTGCATCTAGGTTAGGGAATTCTCCCTTTGGAGAGTCTCACACTGTTTCAGAATGACTAAGCAGGTATTTCACCTGCCTGGATGAGCATATTCCATGGAACTTCAACAACACGACCTGTTGTAGGAAATGACTATGGAAGTCCTAAGCCAGGGGAGTCAAACTTGATTACATTGAGGGCCGCATCAGGGTTGTGTTTGACCTTGGGGAGGGGGGGCATGGCCAGCTCAATTTTATTGATGTCCGGGGGTGCCTGTGGTGACTCAGGCATTGTGCCAGCAAAATCCAAATTCCATTTTCACTTGCCAGCAAAAATGGAGCTTGGGAGGGCCGCTCTGTTTTTGCTGGCAGAGGCACCTTGGATGCAGTACTCTAGGTGTGATCTTACTAAGGCTTTATAGAATGGTATTAATAGTTTACTTAATCTCGATTGTATCCCTCTGTTAATGCAATTTAGGATTGCATTAGCTTTTTAGGGTGCTGCTGCAACTTGAGGACTACCTGTAAATCTGCTTTAAACTACTTTTTACCTATTTGATATGTACAATAGGTGATGTATAGAAAACTTTAGATTTTAATTTAAAAAGACCCTTAGAAACCCAGATTAGGCTTAAAAATCCAGCACTGGGAGCCCTGCTTGCAAGAGAAGTCTTGCGGCTGCTGCAAAGACACTCCCAGGACAATGAAGGGACCATGTGGAAAATGGAGAACCCAGATTTGTGCAGATTTGGGGGGGTGAGGCTACCAGCTGGGGCTCTCCTCCCAGGAAGCAGGCGGCAAAGCACTTCCCAATTTTCCCAGATTGCCGTAGGCGCTCATAGGAAATCGGGACGCAGATAAGGCAGTCAGTCGGCGCCTCCAACTGCTCCCCAGGCTTCCCCTCCCTTCTATATTCCCGCTGGGGGCAAGAAGGTCTCCCCTCCCTCCCATCACCCGCCCCTTCCCCAAATTCCTCAGAAAGCCTTTCAAGAGGATAGGCATTCATTTCCCCACGTTTGCTTACAAGAAGAGCAGTATCTCACCTCCCTCTGGACATGATTTCATGCACTTTCTCAGCTTCCAGGAAGGTCGAGAGATCGGAATGAGAGAATGCTGCTTCATACAGAGACCACCACCACCTCTTTTCCTTCCTCCTCTTCAAAAAAAAAAAAAAAAAAATCTCAGGCATATGTTCTGTATTGACTCTTTTCCTTGTGTCCCGGAACGGTTGAAGTTTGGCAGAAATGTACTCTCGAATCTTTACTCGTTTCAGATGGAGGATGAAACTAAACGGTACAGTCACAGGGAACAACTGCCATTTTTCTTTGAGGGCAGAGAGCAACAGACTAGGATTAAATAAAAGCTTCATTTTGAAAAGTTATATTACACTAAAGTCAATGTGTTTCCTCTAATAGACAGTGGTCTATTTATTATATTAGATATTTATGACATCTACAGAAGTCATGTAATCACTGATATACAATTCTAATAAAGCATACATACAGACACAAATATAAGTGTGTATGTAACAGAATAAGAGTGTTGGATAGGCCTTTAGAGGTCATCTAGTCCAACCCCCCACTGAGGCAGGAAACCCTATACAGTAGGAGTAGTACCATTTCAGACAAATGGTTGTCCAATCTGCTCTTTAAAAACTTCCAGCGTTGGAGCATTCACAACTTCTGGAGGCAAGTTGTTCCACTGATTAATTGTTCTGTCAGGAAATTTCTCCTCAGTTCTGTTAGAAATAAGAAAATTCAAAAATAAAATGTAGGTGAAGAGAATAATATACAGTATTATAGCATTAAGAAGACAGTTGCTCTATAGCAGTGGTTCCCAACCTTTTTTTTCGCTCCGCACCCCTAAAGAAATTTCACTCGAACCTCGCACCCCCTGAAATAAATAATAAATAAAAATGCCAACATATAGCCAATATCCTATTATTTACCTGGACTTTTCTCGCACCCCCTGGAATATCGTCTTGCACCCCCGTGCAAGCACCCCAGGTTGGGAACCCCTGCTTTATAGACATTTGCTATCTTGATGTAATCCTACTGTAAATATATTTTCTAATGCATTTACTCATTGTTAAACATGTACCTGCAATCAATTACATCCTTCTGTATCAAGTAATGCCACCCCTATCTCCTCCAGGAATTGGTTACCTATCTCAAACTGTCAAGGCAATTCACATACACATTTGACATAACAAAAGACTGAAGTGATCAATTAGGAGGACAATAGGAGAAGAGATAATAAAAGATAACCATTGCCCTAACTTTCTTTAATCAATTGAAGTTAGATTTTGTTTCTCAAAGCATCTGCTTAAATTTACCAGACTTTTACTTTGCATAGATGAATATGTTAGAGATGCATATAATCATTATGTTGTTCTAAGATGGCTAGAGAGAAGATGTGCTGAATGTATGTAACAGTGTGGTGTTAGGAAATAGATATTTCTTTGTTCTGGGACTGTTAGAAAGAGGCCCTGCTGAAGGGACATTCCTTAATGCCAAGTAAGATAAGATTTTAGCAAAATGTGTGATGGGTGGTTGTTGGGAGGTGTTGGAGGAGATGATGTGGTCTCCATAAGGCGTTTCGGATTAGCTGTGCTCGGTCACTGGACTCAATGTAGGAGGGGCATGGGGGGCATCAGGATAGAAAAACTATAAAATGTAATGTTTTGAAATCTTGAGCTGTGGGTCTTGGCTAAAACTTCATGTTGATTACGCTAAGATCTAACCGCTCTTTGCAAACAGCTTTTGATTTAAAAAAAAAAATCTCTGTGTTTTCACTGATCCAAGTTTTTGTTATTTGGAGTCATTTCCAACAGTTCTAGGTTGATCCTCTCCTCGATTAGTTTCCATCCATTTCATCTTGTCCTGCCTCCAGGTGCTTTGGAAAATAGCTTGACTCCCAGTTCGCCAAAGCACCCGAAGACAGGACAAGAAGCAATGGATGGAAATTAATGTAAGGTGACCATCCGTCCTCCTTTAGGGAGGACAGTCCTCCTTTGT